TTCTGCCCAAGAGAGGGAAAGAGGAACCAGTACTACAGCAATCCGGACAAGTCCAGAGAAGGGTCCGAACAGCTTCAGCAAGCAAAAAAGGGGTTGACAGTCCAAAAAAGGTAAGTTTCAGGACTGTCAAACCAAAGAAGGGACTAAAAACCCTTCAAAAAGAGGATGAAAAGGAGATCCAAGAGAATGGAAAGCAAAAGGGGTCTAGGACGACACCAGATCTAGAGTTAAAGGCTGATTGGATCAGCCGAAAGAGAGAAAAGTGGGAAAAACCAACCTGTTAGGCATCTTTTTCAAAAAAACAGGAGGGTTTTTGTGCTGATCGAAACAACCCCCAAGAAGATCCGGATCAGAATCCGAACAGTACTGATGGAAGCCTTGAAAAGCAGTAAAGCACTCTTCAATCTTGTATAGAAACCAGAACTCCTAGGCTGATACAGGTGACCCGCTTTGATACCATGTGAGCAGAACTGAGAGCAAAGAAGAGCAGATTCAGGGGTGTCTTGAATGGTCAACCCCCACCCAAAAGAGCCCCTTTTATATTAAAAGATATGTACAGTTACAAGAATGCCCTTATAGGGCTAAAAGATAAAAAAAGAACAAATAAAACAATAAGTGTACTGTACAACAGGGACTATACTAATAATATACATCAGGATATATCTCCACAGTAGGGAACTTCCCTCAGTTCAAGAGGTGTATGTTCTAGTTCAATCTGAGGAAAGCAGAAGAAATTTGATGAATGCTTCTAAAGGGGAGTAGCCGGTTGCTTTAGCTGCCAGGGCAGTAGTTCTGGAGTGAAGAAGAATGACTCTAAGAAAGTTGATGATAAGGATAAACTTTGGTGTACTCATTGCCAATGGTCTATACATACTTGTGAGACTTGCTGGGAGCTTGTTGGAAAGCCCACGTGGGCTACCAAGAATCAAGACAGCTCTAAGAAGCCCACCCAAAAGAAGTTTAATTCTGCAAATATGGCTACTCAGGAATCTAGGACAAATAACTTGACATCTAGTTCCTCTCAAGAGAGCTCCCTTGGTTCTGACCCTAGGGAAGACATTGTTAACTCTTTCATGATCACTTGGAGTTATATGGTAGGACCCTTCGGCAAATGGATAAATTGGTTCCTATTCCTTCTACCTCATTTGCGTCTACATTAGGTAACAATGCTTCTACATTTCATGTGTTTACCTCAATCCTTGATACCCCTTGGATCATTGACTCAAGGGCTTTTAACCATATGACTTATAAGTCAAATTTGTTTAAATCTTACACCCTTCTCTCAGGTAGATAAAGTGAGACTGGATTATAGATCCTTTTCCACCATTGCTAGTTAGGGATTTAGGGATCTGTATCCCTTCCCCATGGACTTGGTTCTACCTAATGTTCTTCACGTACCTAAGCTTCCTATTAATTTGTTATTTGTAAGTAGTATTACTTAATCTTTGAATTGTTGTGTGACCTTTTTTCCCAACTCTTGTATTTTCCAAGATTTTGCCTTGGGGAGGACAATTGGTAAAGGAAGCATAGTCAATGGTCTCTACATTTTGGAGAATAAAGCTGGTCATGCGGCACCAGTCTCTATGGGTCTTCTAAGTCAGCCAGTCAATCAACCAATTGAGAGTTAAGTTTGTTTATGGAATAACCGTCTTGGTCATCTGTCATTTAAGTYTTTAACATTATGTTTCTAGAGTTGTTTTAAGTCTGTGCTTGTTTCAAGTTTGAAATGTGAGACATGTCAATTAAATAAGCATTGTAGAACTCATTTTCCTCCAAATAATAAAAGATCTACTATGCCTTTTTATATTGTGTATTCTGATGTTTGGGGTCCTATAACTACATCTACTAAGGGTGGATGTAAATATTTTATTGGCATGATTGATGACTATTTATGGTATATGTGGATATATCCTATGCATTCAAGGGACAAGGTGCCCAAAATTGTGAAGAATTTTCAGGGTATGGTTTTCACTCAGTTTCATGTTGAGATTCAGATTTTCTAATCAGATAATGCAAAATAAATCTTCCATCATGATCTAGCTAACACTTTTCTATCCATGGGTCTCTTCACCAGAGCTCTTGTGTACTAGAACACCACAATAAAATGGTGTTACAGAAAAGAAGAATTTCCACCTCCTTGAAGTTGCTCATAGTAATGTCCTGCACATGAATATTCCCAAGTGTTTTTGGGTTGAGGATGTTCTGGTTTCCCTTTACGTCATCAATCATAATCCCTCTCTTTTCCTACAGTACAAGGCCCCACATCAGCTTTTATTTCCTCGGTCTCCCCTATTTTCCATTCCTTTGCATGTGTTTGGCTGTTGGTGCTTAGTTCATGACTTGTCTCCTATATGGGCTAAATTAGATCCTAGGGCCATTCCCTGTGTCTTCCTTGGTAATCCATCTTCTTAGAAAGGCTACAAATGCTTTGACCTTACTTTTCACAAGTATTTTATGTCCATGGATGTGTCATTTTTTGAATCCAAGCCATTCTTCCCTACCTTTCCCAAGGGGGAATTGTATGGAGGAGAAGGTCCAATAGTAGATCCATCTTCCTTCTATCCTAGATCTTTCTCCCTTTTGTGTTTTACTAAGGCACCGTAAGAACCAACAGAGTTCAAAAAGTGTAGAGCAACCAAAAATTGGACTCCTTAAAGGAAAGTCCCTCTCAGCCAGGTACTCTTATTCCTCTTGAGACTATTGATTCTATTGCTATTGATGACTCTTGATGATCTTTGTTAGAATGTTAAGAGTGATGTTCGGCTGATAAGAGTTCTTACTAGCCCAGTCTTATGTCTAACTTATCTTGTAATTGGGCCTGTGTTAATGGGCCTAATCCTGTTTAATGATTTAAGTCATCTGGGTGTCCCATCACTAATCAGGGGCATCCCAGTAATTTCTTGTACCTTGTACTAYATYCATCTATAAATAAARGACTGGTCGATTGGCTAGTACAGTTCGACATTCTCTTCAGTTCTGTGGTTCTCTTCTCTTCTTTGCTACTTCGAGTATAGCTCTTCAGATTACAATCTTAATATCCCAATTGCTCACAGAAAGGGCATTAGGTCATGTACTACTAAACACCCTATTGCATTTCTTGTCTTATAAAAATGTATCTCTCTCCTTTCGTGCCTTCTTAACTGCCATTGGTAGTGTGTCTATTCCCAAAAGTGTTGTCGAAGCTTTGTTTATACTTAAATGGATAGATGCAATGAAGGAAGAAATTAGTGTTATTCATAAAAACAATACATGGGAGTTGGTAGATCTTCCTAAAGGAAAAAAAGCCAGTCGGTTGTAAGTGGGTGTTTATTGTGAAACACAAGGTTGATGGTATAGTGAAGAGATAAAAGGATAGCTTAGTTGCAAAGGGGTACACACAGGTATATGGGGTTGATTATAGAGAGACTATTGCTTTAGTCGTCAAAATGAACTCTATCTGGATTCTTCTATCATTAACTGTTAACTTTAATTGGGAGATTCATCAACTTGATGTTCAAAATGCTTTCCTAATTGGAGACTTGGAAGAGGAAGTTTACATGATTCAGCCTCTTGGTTTCTAGCAAATGAAATGAAGGGAAGGTATGTAAGTTGAAGAAATCCCTATATAGATTGAAGCAGTCTCCAAGTGCTTGGTTTAGTAGATTTCACGTGGCCCTTCAATAGATTGGGTTTAAGCAATGTTAATCAGATCATACACTCTTTGTCAAGAGGGAACATGAGAAAGTTGTAGCCTAATTGTATGTGGATGATATAGTCATCTTTGGGAACTTGAGTTTTGAGATTCAGCGGGTGAAAATATCCCTTGTAGTGCAATTTGAATTCAAGGTTCTAGGACCTCTATGGTACTTTCTTGGAACTGAGGTGGCCTGTTCACAAAAGGGAATCTTCATTTCTCAAAGTATATACATCTTGGATCTCTTACAAGATACAAGCAAACTGGGTGCAAAACCAGCAGATTCCTTTATTGATGCTAATCATAGACTTGGTGATTGTATTGGAGAAACTCTAGAAGATGTTAAGAAGTCTTAGAGATTAGTGGGTAAACTTCTCTACTTGTCAATAACTCAGCTTGATATTGCCTATGTTGTGAGAGTTCTCAGCTAGTTATGCATGCTTCCAAGAGGACTTCACATCCAGAAGCTGTAGAGAGGATTCTTAGATATTTAAGAAAAATATCTAGGGACTGGTATGCTGTTCAAGCACGATCACATGAAAGTTGAAGTTTACACTAATGCTGATTGGGTATGGTTAGATGATGATAGGAAGTCCACAAGTGGTACTGCACCTTTGTTGGTGGAAACTTAGTCACCTAGAAGAGCAAGAAACAAAGTGTTGTGACTAGGTCTAGGGCTGAAGCTGAGTACAGAGCCTTGGCTCATGGGGTTGTTAAAGTTCTTTGCAGTGTTTTCAACCGTTAACCCAGCCAGTCGAACTGTTCAAACCATCACCCGACCAAGATTCCGGGCCAGTTCATCAAGACCCGTTAGACAGTCAAAAACTATTGACTTGGTCAAGAACCGTTCGACCCGTCTGGTTCAATTGTTGACCCATTCGACCCAGTCACTGGGTCGCGGGTTGCACATTCAGTGTATGCAAACTTTCGGAGGCCATAACTTTGCACTCCGATGTCCGATTGGGCTGATTTTTTTTAATTTTGGGTAACTATTCGAAATCTATGCATCTCAATGGGCCATAGGTGCCTTGCCCCACTATTTTCACAAAAAACCCATATTTTGGCCTCAAATTACAATTTTTAATATTTTTATAAATAAAAATGAGTTAAAAAATATCAATTAAATATAAAAATACATATAACATATCTAAAACATATTTATATATTATTTATTGATAAAATATATTTCTGCACATATATACATATAAATATATATACTTAATACTTATATATGATGACATGGCACGGTCTGAACCATTCGACCCAGAGGCAAAAACGGTTCAGCCTCCAGGTCGGTTTTTAAAACATTGGTTCTTTGGGTAAAAAGTCTAATTGATGAATTGGGTTTCTCTGTTGATAACCCAATGTCCCTTTGTTGTAACAACAAGGTAGTTATAAATATTGCCATCAATCTTGTCCTTCATGATAGAACTAAACACATTAAAGTTGATAAGCATTTTATAAGAGAAGCTCAAAAAGGGCAAAGTTTGTACTACTTATATCAATTCTAAGGAGAAACTTGCAGATGTTCTCACAAAAGGACTTCACTACCTATGACAGAATGAGTTATGTGAGAAGTTGGCAATTACTAACATATATGACCCAACTTGAGGGGGAATGTTGTAATTCTGTTATGTTATGGCTACAAGGGCTTTTTTGTCTTTTTATTTCTTTCTATTGTATAGCTGTCACACTAATAGTATAAATAGAACACAAGGCGTCAAACTCCATTCTTTTTTGGTGCCTTTTTATTTTTTCTTCTTTCTCTTTTCTTCCTCTCTGGAATTCCCTTCTCTCCCACTTCTATTTTCTTCTAGGTTTTCAAAACTAATTACAAGACCATCAATGGTGTATCGAGTGCATGGTTAGGTAGTCAAGAAATAACATATCCATAAAATGTGTGGAAGAAATGTGAATGTTGAAATGGATGAGTGTAGACGAAGATGGTTTGGGCAGTAGAGAAACCATCAACAACACCAGTAAGAAGTGATCTGCCACAAGTTTAAGGGGGTAGAACAGTGTTCAGAAATGCATCCTTTATTTATCTATGTTGCTTTTAATTGTTCACTTTTTTCCTTTTATTCATTTTTATGCATTTTGTGCTGTCCTATAAGGTTGTACACAACCAAGGGTAGACTAGTCATTTTAGATTGTATTTTAGTTGTAGTTTATATAGTGGAAAGAAGCTATAAGCCCAAATTTTTTGACTCCCTTTCAAATCTTTCTTTCCACTTTCTTCTCTTATCCTTGTCCTATCTTTTACTTTCTATATATTTCTGATTTCTTTTTACAGTTCTGTTGGCCAAGTGGTACCAAAGCAAGGTTTCACAAAGAGAATTTTGGATATAACTCATGTAACTCTAGGATAATCTTTCCACATGGAAGATTAAAGAATTTGATTGTTTTTTTAAATCTCCCCTAGTTTAGATGATTTTTGGAGATGAATAAGGAAAATACATATCTTTTATTATGTTTAGAAAACTGATAGTTTTCACAAGGTAACTCTAAAAACTTAACAGAAGAAAATAAAGTAGGAAATAGGTGAGTCAAAGGTTAAAAAGACAAATGACCAAGGAAAAAGTGCCAAAGCATGATCCTCTACTAGGAAGAAATAGATTTGTATGTGTGATAGAACAAGAATTAGAAGAAATTGATGTCTTTCTATTGAGAAAGTAGTACATATATATACAACCTTGTAGATACTAAAAAGGAAGAAAATCATACAGCCTTGCAAATACAAAAAAGGAAGAAAATCATACAAGGAGATTACTCTGATGAAGTCCTCTACTAGGTGGCACATCAAGGTGGTAGATTCCATTTGCCTCATGCCCACTCCCAATCATCCTATTCAACTCAAAATCTTGAGAAACAGATTAGTCGAGGACAAAAACCACAGAGTAGCTTAGGGATTTAATGAAGCTATTAACAGAGGAGAAATTTGTATTTAGCTTAGGGACATGAAAAACTGAGGAAAGAATTAAGCCATCAATAACTTTAATATCTCCTTTTCTAGAAATAAGAACATCCATCAACAATATATTCCTTATMCTTTCTTGAACACAAGTAGGACTAGAATAAGAAGGGTAAACTTGTCAAATAGTCAAAAGCTCTTGAGTCTGCTATCTAAGAAATATTTTCATTACTAGTTGCCAAATCATGGTTGGCAGTGCAATGATGAGTAATGAGGAAGGACAATGGATCCTTCACTTAAATATTCACCCTTAATAACACCTCCAGCTGACTAAAGTACTTGCTATATTTTTCAAATTTAGCCCTGGCTGCAAGCCTGCAACAAGTGTCTCCTAGTAAGGAAAATTAGGTGGAGAGAGATTAGAAGCAAACTAATTAGATGATGTAGTAGCAACATTTGCATTGCCTTTCTTGCCACCCCAAAGTCTGGTAGGTTTCAGATGATACCAATGTCTATTTTTAGTATGCTTGCGTTTCCTATATTGCTCACACAAAATCTCCTCCTCCCCTACATGATCTCCAAGTCCCTAATATTAGGCTTAGGTGCAATTTGAGTAGTAAAATCAAGACATGACTGCAACTTAATATTGCTCCTTTTGTCACTAGACTAGAGAGTACACCTTTAGAAGAGAAAAATCTCCTCAAGTAAGAATATGTTGGTGGGCCAAATTTCTACCAAATTTGAAAAATATAGAAAGTACTTTAGTCAGATAGAGGCATTATTTTGTATAGAGATTACACCTGTGGTAATCTTGCTCCTTTTCTTCATTTTTTGATTGGTTTCAAATTTTGTATTTCATTTCCAACATCAATAAAAACAACTACAATTTATCACACTTATACTCTTTAATATGATTAATATAAAATATTAGAGATGTGCCCAATTTTTCTACATTTTTTTTTATTTTTTGTAATCTTTGTATTTATCTCTATTTTGAAAGTTTCATTATTTAACTATGACATCATGGGTTACCCATTTGACCCATATGGTTGAATTGCTCACCTGCCACCATGACAGAAGAAGAGTTTTGTTTTTGGGCTGGTTTTAAAAAAATGGGTTTTTGTGTTGTTAAAAGTATTGAATACGGATCTAATTGCTAGAATTTATTGGTGAGAAAAAATAGCTTAAATATAGGATTTAATGAAGCAAAAATAGGAGTTAGTACCTGTAATAAAATCCAGAAAAGGGTGAAGAAATGTGGAAATAAAGAAGAAAGGGGTGAGGAAGAGATTCAGTCCAGACAAGGTCCAACAAAAGAGAGAAGAAAGCAAGAAGTGAAAAGAAACAAGGTCTAGGAAAGAGATCCAAACTTTCCCCTCTCCCTCCTATTGACCTCTGTTTTGTTAGACTTATATTAAAAACAAAATTACAAAAATACCCTCCAAAGGTTGCATATAACATAAATCTAGAAAACAAAGAACAAAAAGACAATATTACTCCTGCAACATAAATTTCAACACTCCCCTCAAGCTGTAACATATATATCGTAAAGAACCAGCTTGTTACAAATGTAACCCATCCTGGCACAGCTTAAACCTTTGGTGAATAGATCAGCTAGTTAATTATCAGATCTTACATATGGTCTGACAACATCACCACTTGTCACTTTTTCCCTTATAAAATGACAATCAACTTTTATGTGTTTGGTTCTTCGTGAAAAACTGGATTGGAAGCAATATGTGTGGCAGCTTGATTATCACAAAAGAGCTTAATTGGCTTACTAATAGGATGCACTCCATTGAGGTTTTGAACCTTTGGCCACCAGTCAGGCTTTGAACCTCTGAACACTACCATCTTGTCTATGCTTGATTATATAAACTAACCGAAAACCAACTGTTTGTTTATTAGGAAGCACTCCATTGAGGTTCTTTTTTATCTTTAGTTGTCAACTTTTCGAGACCCTTCATCAACTAGATGTGAAGAATGCTTTTATGAATGGGACCTAGATGAGGAGGTGTATATGGTTCAACCCCTTGGTTTTCAACTGCAAGTGAAGGGAAAGTTCATTGTCTAAAAAAAAATCCTTAAATGGCCTAAAAAAATCCCTTGGGGCATGGTTTGATAGGTTTAACAATCAAATGTGTTGGTTTTGTGCAGTGCCAAACTGATCACACACTATTCGTAAAAAAAGGGTGATTTTGTTGCCATTTTGATTGTATACGTGGATGACATTGTGATTATAAGAAGCTAGGAAGAAGAAATTCAAAAATTAAAATAAATTTTGGCCTCAAAGTTTGAGGTTAAATATCTTGGACCATTGAGATACTTTCTTGGTATTGAAGTTAAGGAATCTTTATCTCTCAAAGGAAGCACATCATTGATTTATTGAAGGATAGTGGAAAACTAGGATGTAAACCAGCAGATACTATTATGGATCTAAAATGTAAGCTAGGGACCTATGAGGGTGAGACACTTTCAGATGTACAATAGTATTGAAGACTCATTTGGAGGATCCTGTACCTCTTTGTCACCCAGTCAAACATAGTGTTTTCAGTGTTTTAAGTCAGTATATGTGCTCACCAGAAAAATCTCATTTCAAGGCTGCAAAGAGTTTTTTCTTACTTGAAGAGACACCTTGTCAAGAGTCTTCTCTTCACTAAACAAGGCTACGGTAGGTTGGAGGATTATATTGATGCTAATCAGGAAGTTTTTGTTGATGATAGGAGATCCACCATTGGTTATTGTACCTTGTAAGGGGAAATTTGATCATGTTGAAGAGTAAGGAACAAATTGTGGTAGCAAAGTCAAGTGCAGAGGCGAAGTATTGTCTTAAGGGGTAGCTGAACTTCTATGGTTAAATAATCTTCTTATGGAGTTGGGAATATGGAATTTAGACCCTAATGTTTTTTATTGCAACAAGGCAGCCATCAATATTGCTCATAACCCAGTTATTCACGACAGGATGAAACATATTGAAGTTGACAAACACTTTATCCATGATAGATTTGAAAGGGGTGAAATATGCATACCTTTTGTTGGCTCAAAAGAGCAAGTGGTTGATGTATCTACAAAGAGTGCATCTATCTTGCACCATGAGGAGTTATGTAACAAGTTGGGTATGCATGACATATACAACCCAACTTAAAGGCATGCGTTGTGACTTGTGAGATATGCTCTTTTTATTCTTTGTAGCACAAGGGTATTTTCAAGAAATATTCTTCTTCAATTCTGCTCTCTTTTCTTCTTTTCTTATCTCCTCTCATCTATTCTCTTCTCTTCTCTTCTCTTCTTTTATTTTCTTTGACAGATTACAATCAGATTTATATTAGAATACAAAACAATTATGAGGGGTCTAGTTGAATGTATATGCCCATCTCTAAAGGATACCTTTATTGAGAGGGCAATTCATATGTATGCTTACAAAGATGCCCTTGGGCCATATAAAATTGTTGATCTACAACAGTCCTATACTATTATTGTGATCAGCAGAAAAGAATTTTATTAAATTGATAACTGGAGTTAATACACTCAGTTAACAAGAATGTCCACCCAACTCTAGAGCAGAGTTACATGGTAGCTCAAAAAAGTTGCTGCCTCAACACCCCTTGTTTGGCAAGGGCATCAGCCATCCCATTTTCTGTCCTCACCCAGTTAAAGTGAACTTCGAGGTCCTCTGTGATGCTTTCCATTTCCCTAAATGCATGCCTGAGAGTCCAAGGGATGTGTCTATTGCAACTTGCCCTGGAAATAATTAACTTTGAATCCCCTTCCACCTCCACCTGTCTATAGCCCAACAGTCCTATACTATTACAATAGGATTAAAGAAATAAACAAAATAAGAAAATAAGAGACCTATTTAAAAATCCTTCTGTCTAGAAAAAACTAAATGGCCATTTGTGGGATCCATAGAACAAACATATCCTACTTGATTTAATGCTTAGACTAAGAATCACTTCAAACATTCAGGGACAAATACAGAAAACACAGAACATAAGGAAGGAAGAGAAAGTGGCAAAGTATATTAACATTGAACTTTAAGTAGGAAGAAACATACCAGTTTTGAGTAGGTTTACCACAGTTTGTTGCACACTTTCTTTCATTATAGGTTCCACGGTAATCACATGTATTCTGGCAACCCTCTTTTGGAGCAACCAGTGACCAGTGTCTTCCAATATTGTGGCCATTAACCCAAGCTTGGCCCTTTCCCATGGTTCCCAGATCCAGGGCAACAGGATCTACTCCATCAGGAACATCAAAATATGTCTGTATGCAAATATAATTTCAGAATAATGTTAGAAAGAACACAGAAAAAAATATGCAGGCATCCATAAATAAAGTCTTTATGAGGCAAAGATGTAAGATACTTGGTTAAGTGCAGTTGCAACATTATGTTAGAAGAAACTATGGGGCCTAGAAAAGATAATGGATAATTGTTTTAATTGATAGCAAGATCAGAATGTGTTTTGATAAGAATGAGAAAGACGCAAGTAAAAATTTAGGGATAGAAACCAAAAGAAAAACTACCAGAGGCAGAAAATACATCAATAGTGGACCCTATGCATATGAAAAATACAGCTAATATGACATGTTATCCCCTAAAAAATATCTCTTCCCATTCCTCCTGCCTCCAACCCACTATAATATTCTAGAGGGGGTTTCAAATACACTCTTCTTTAGCAGACCATTAAGGAAGGGATTCTTCACATCCAACTAGAAAATAGACTGAGAATGCACAGTAAACAAGGCCAAGAGAACACAAACTATAGTAATCTTGTTAACTAGAGCAAACATCTCTTCATAGTCGATACCATATTCTTGTATGTATCCCTGAGCAGCAAGACAAGCTTTGCATTTATCTAGAGAACCATCAGACTTCAACTTGATAGTGTAAACTCACTAGCTCCCAATAATAGAAGCACCCAAGGGTGTAGGAACAAGATCCCAAGTGCCATTCTCATGTAAAGCATGAACCTTTGCATCCATTTCTTCTTTTTAATGGGGACTGCTAATGGCATGTTGGTATGAGTGAGGAATATCTGTGGAGGATAAAACAACAGACAAGGAGCTATGTTTTAAGGAAAACCATAGCAGCCAGTACGTCTAGAGATACGAGTAAAATGACAAAGAAGAATAGAAGGAACTAAAGTAAGATGTGGAGGGGTAACTGAAGAGGAAGAATCTGTGAGCATTAAGTAGATTGACGTCCCAAATCAAAATCTTTGGCTTTGACTTCTTCTGAGGCATGTATATAGACCAAACTAGTTTCTCTTCCATCTTTCGAGCCACTATCCAAGGTGAATGTAGTAGTTTTAATTTACACGATGGATATCTATTTAAAGACAACTAGTTATATGCCCCTAAATGTTCTTGGAGACTAATGATTTTGTAGGAGATCCATAAGGACATATTGGTCTAAACAAAACGTATTCCCTCATAGCTAAGTAGTACTACAATCCTAAGCTGCAACTAGATGTGGACAAGTATGTAAAACGACACCAAATTTTCCAAACTACAAAGGCCTCCAATGCTAGTCTATACACTTACCTCCCTGTTCTAACTCCACCATAGGTTGTCATCAACATGGATTTCATGCTCAATCTCTCTTGAACCATATGGGGATTTGATAGTGTCTTAGTGGTAATGGATTGATTCTCAAAGATGGTCCACTTCATCCCTAGTTGCAAGATCAACGACGCCTTGCACATAGCCTAGCTCATACTCAAGGAAATTGTGTGACTCCATGGCATCCAAAATCTATATTCTCGAACAGGGATCACAAGTTCATTAGAACCTTTGGTCTTGGCTCAGTTACAAACTAAAATTCAGCAGCTCCTATCACCCTGAGATTGATGGCTAGACAAAAGTAGTGAATCGCAAAGTCAGAACCTTGCTTCACATTGAGTTGAGCAAGGCACCCTAGGCTTGGGATGCTACTCTCTCTTTGGCAGAGCTCTACTACAACAAAGCTCCCAGCCAAAGCACTAAACTCAGTCCCTACCAGATAGTATGCAGATACAATCCCCCAAGACCATGGAGTTGACAGAGCTACCAATCAAGGGATGATGTGTCTTGTAATTCAACAATATGATCTCATATTTCAAGGACATTTGCAATTTTGCACTAGGGTGAAAACTCTATACTACCTATGGGCAGTACAAATCCTAGGTAGACAAACAATGAGGAAATCTGACCTTTGAAGTTGGTGATCTTGTATGGATTGCTTTGTCCCCAAAGAAATTACCAACAGATGGAAAGGAATAAGAGACAGAAAGGAGATTTCCAACCAATAGTAGAGGATGATATGGGGATTATGAGGAAACAAGAAGTTAGAACAACATCACTCCAATAAATTTTAAGGACAGGCACATGAGTTAATAAAGATTGAGCAATATCAAGGAAGTGTTGGTTCTTCTTTTAAGCCACACCATTCTGTTGTGGTGCTAATGAACAAGAAGATTGATGAATATGAGAATCAAAACAATTATTGAAAACCAATATGAAAATATTCTTTAACATTATCAGAGCAAAAAAATTTGATTGAAACACCAAATTGATTTCAATTTGTAGCATAGAAAGAAAGATAAGTAGACAATAACTCTGAACAATCTTTCATTAAATAAATTCATGTCGTCATCATAATGAACAAAAGTAAAAAGACTTGAACTCTTCTGATATCTCCCCCTAGAACAAAAGAGACTGTATGGTGTTTGCTAAGTTGACACAACTAACACTCCAATTTTGTGACCAATTCCAATGACAGTTAACTGTTTCAAGACCAGAAGTAAAAGATGACCTAACTGAAAGTAACACTAGTTAGGTGTAAGAGATGAATGAATAGTTTTCTATGAACTACCACCATCCAAATAGTACAATTCTCTAACTTCATGCCCTCAATCAATCATTTTCCCCATTTTGAGTCCTAGAAAACACAATAAGAGGAATAGATGAGACAAAGCAATTTAGGGCCTTAGTTAACTTGATGACAGGCATAAGACTAGAGGGAAATTTAGATACTATAAAGTAAAAAGTAAAGTAAGGTCAAAAGTAAGTGATACATTACTGGCACTAGAGACGGAAGAAGTGGTACCATAACCTAGGGTAACAATTTGAGATGTAGGTCTAATCTTATAGTTTGAAGCTCTAGAATCTATTACCCAAAAGTAGACTTAAAATGGGAAACATAAGCTATAGGTGAATAACGGGCAAGTGTGGCAATATTATTGGAAGAAGAGTACTGATGAAGTTTCTCATACTCTTCACATGTGATAGATATCAACTACTCCTTCCCAACTCCTAAAATAGATTCTCATCAATGGAAGTCACATGACTAGGGTCCTCTCCAACTAAGCATGGTTAGCCCGATTGGATGGTGGGCCGCGTAGATCACATTAGAGTTGATAGTATCTTCATGACCACAATGACTGCATTCACGTCATACTCTGTCTCCACCACTACTGCCTACACCCCAAGCACTTCCTCCATCTCTACTACTTCCATGACCATGACTTTTACACCTATACCTTTGCTATGTACACCTTTACCATTGCCTCTAGCCATGATTAACGTAAACCTCTCAGATGTAGGAGTGCCCTCACTTTGTTGTTTGAACACTCTCCTGATATGAGAAATAATTTAGATAAAGATGGAATCCATTGCTTCCCAAGATCTGAGCACGAACTGACTTGTATTTAGGACTTAACCTAGATAAGAATCACACAACATTCAGGTTCTCTCTTTGTTGTTGTCGTTGTGCCTTTATGTCACTAGTAAGAAGTTGATAAACATCCAACTCATGTCAAACTTTTAAACCATATATATGTAGTCTATCGATGAAAGCTGAAACATCTCTCCCATTTCAGAAAAATATGAATATTAGGAATTCCCAAAAAATTTCATATCCTTAGCAAAATGGGGATATTTTGGAGAAATTTTCCCAAATACCACCAATACTGTGAACCATGGTTATGCCTTTAGGTATTTTTACTTCATCACCAAGATACATTGTGAGTTTCAGCTTAAAACATAAACATAAATTAAGAAAGGAAAAGATGCTATCTAAAATGTAAAATATTGAAACATATTCCATTCCTTTCCAACAAACACTTTCTTTTATGTATATCATCCATATCAGTGAGAAGATGAATGTAAATAACCAAGATTGGAAGCCTTGGTCATGTCCGAAGAGGACCATTCCAACAAATATAGGATATAATAGATCCAAAATAATAGTTAATCTCTACTCCATAATATGACCAAGGCAAATCATATTTTTTGTTAAAATGGGATGCAAGTGTTAATAGTCACCATATGATGCAAAAATCATGAGCAAAATGTCATGTGTGGATCAAATTGTACCATGATGTATAGGAAAAAATATGTGGCACTATCTGTTCTTTCTTTTCATTTTCACTGGAAACATAAAATTTTATTAAAATATGAAAAAGAATATGGAACCTGTAGAACTTTTTGGTTGTGTCTGTTTTATGACAAAATTTTCCCTCTTCTTATTAGCTATTTATTTCAGCTTCTTGAATGCAAAAGTATCAAAGAATAAATGTACACTATTCTTGATGTTGTTCAAAAATGAATATTTTTTAGTAAAGACTAAATGTGAATAGTGATGCCTGGAATACTTAAAGTAATCAGGTTTAACCATACCTTGTACCAGGTAAACATAGATGAGCTTGACTCTGGTGGCAACTCAATCCAATCTGCTTGTTCAGTATTTTCTAAAGCATATAATTTCATGAACTCACCCTTCAGTCCAACCTATAATCAAAATATAAAAAAAATGCTGAATTGTTTTCTATCCCAAAAACAAAAGCAACAAAATTTACAAGTCTGACTTCTAACATGATCAAGACAAAATAGTAAATAAACGTTGAGAGCTGCCAGTTTAGGAGAAAACTTGTTTCACTCTTAAATTTTACTAACAAGGGGCTACAATGTTATACACATATTAATATAAAACTTAAAGACAATGATCATTGATATTAGCAGACCATTAGGACAGAAGGGACCCCAAGCCATAAAAGACCCAGATCTTGGAAGTTACATGTGCATCAGAGAACTCTATGGTATTTTTTGAGATTATATTTTAGTGAAATATGGAGAAGAAAAAGAAAAACAGCTTGGGTGTTTCAATTGACCTGGAAATGTTGGGAGGTTTTTCGGGGACTGGTTTAGTTTCTTCTGAGTCACCTAACTTTTTGGAACTCCACAAAGTTTATTTCAATTTTATTGGAGCTATCTTCAAGGTTTGGTGATGTTTTTCCTTCACAATATTTGTGGCCAAGCATTCATTTTTCAAGATCTAGGACTGTTCTGCTTGTAAGGCCTCATGATGAAGGCCTGTAGTGAGACAATCAGCCAGTTGATCTATCCACTTCGATATGTTTTGTATGGTCATGTTTCACAAGACTGTGGGAAATGTTTATGGCTGCTTGATTGTCGCAATAGAGTCTATTGAAGTATTAGCTTGGATGCTTATCTCGGTCAATAAGGTCTTCAACCAAAGTAATTCTGACACTCCATGGGCCATTGCCTTATATTCTACCACAGCACTAGATCGAGCAACAACTGATTATTCCTTGCTTCTCCATGAAACAATATTACCTCCAACTAAGGCACAATAACCGGATGTAGATCTTCTATCATCAATAGACCCTGCCCAGTCCACATCTATGCAGCCCTCAACCTTTAGATGCCCATGATTGGAGTACATCCCTTTAACAAGAAGGCGGCCAACCACTCTTTGAAAGGCTCCTTTGTCTAGAAGAACATCTCCTTCAATAGTACTCAACTAGTAATTGGGATCAATTGGAGTTTCTGCAGGCTTTCATCCTGTTGAGCAAGAGCAAGTGAAGAGAAGAGAGGAGAAGAGAGAAGAGAGGTGGGTCGAGTGATTGAAAGCCCTCCAGAACATAGGGGGCGAATGAATGAATTTATTATTTATACTAGTCCAGTCGAACAATATAAACAAAAGAGAAATTACAACAATACCCTTATGGTACTAAACCTGAATACACAAACAACTGTCAACACTCCCCCTCAAGTTGGAGCATAGATATCAATCATGCCCAACTTGTCACAAAGATCATGATGTCTGGAAAGGTTTAAACCCTTTGTAAAGATGTCTGCAAGCTGGTTCTCAGAAGTGACATAGGGGGTACACACTTCGCCTGTAATAACTTTCTCTCTG